AAAGTTATTATTAGCTGTTCCTAAGCTTGGAGCAGCCTGATAATAACTAAAAAAATTTTAAAAAGTTAATCTATTAAGCAGTCATAGTGATTGCTTGATATAAACTGACAAAAAAATGTCAGTTTTACACTTATTTTTTTTACAAAGTGTAAAAAAAAAAAAAGTGTACAAAAAATTAGGAAAATAAAACTTTTATATGTAAATATATTTGTATACTATAATTATTATTAAAACATTCTAAAAATAATAATAATCAAAACTTGCTGCTGTGGAAGGATCACACAGCAAAAATGTAAAAAGTGTGTCAGTCATTTACAGAAACTAAAAAACTAGCTGTCATGAAGGGGTTAATAACACTTTTGAAATTTTAACATAGTCCTCTATTGGCTGTGTCTGTATAAATCTTCCAGTTGCTTGGTGGTAAACTGATTATATAATGCTTATCCCCAGAGAATAATTAAGTCAGAATGGGTCCCTAGGCAAAGTAGCAGCTTTGACCCTCTCATCCTTTTAATTAACCTAGATGAGGATTTTAGCAGGCGCACCCAGGGCCACCCAGTTTGCAGTGTATGTACTTCCATGGTCCACCCAATGAGCACCAACTGCCTACACGTGTATGATCCTTTGTGAAATATTAGGTGGGTGCGGAGCTCTGACCAATTCTCCATTCCCTGGTTTTCTGTATGACCAATTGTACAAATGTAACCTTTTAATAGTCAAGTCTGTCACCACTTTATTTTCATCCTGATATGCCACTTTAAACATAAGCTTGAATTTTTCAACTCTTCAAGGGCTTATGTATTCCTGAAGAGTTTATTTTTTTTGAGGCAGCGAAGTTGTGTCCATCGAGGTTGTTGTCTTAACACTGGTTTCAGTATAGTTTTTGTTTGCTTCTGTATGGATATTCTATTGAGTGTTAAAGGGGTAGACTTGTAGATTGTCACTAATGGTACCATGCTAATTTGCAACTCCGATTTAAATAGCAACATTATTATGACCACCTGACGTTTGTAGGCAAATTAGCTATAATTTTGCGCTGAAGTTGCTAGAGGGCCAGACCATTATAAATGGGGAAGCAGGTTGTTTACCACGACAGAAGTGATTTTTTTTTTTCTGAAGATATGTTTAAACAACGCAATTTAACAGCCTTTGAACGTGGGATGATTGTTGGCGCTCGGAGCCATGGAGCGAGTATCAGCAAAACAGCAGAATTCGTTAAATGTTCAAGAGCAGCTGTTGTTAAAGTGTTTAAAGACTGGACTGTCAGCCGAAAATCTGGGTCTGAGCGTGTGAATTGTGGCAGTCAGCGACTAGTCAATGTTAGGGCAGAACGGAGAGTGGCAAGACTGGTACAAGACAACAGAAGGGCAACAGTGCATCAAATTACTGCCGATATTAATCAGGGATCCTCTCAAATGATCTCTGAACGCACTGTTCGCCGCACACTGCATCATATGGGATATGGAAGCCAAAGGCCTGTTCCAACACCTTTGCTGTATGCAGTTAACAAGATAAAACGTCTCCAATTCGCACAGGAACACAAGGATTGGACAGTCGAGCATTGGACAAAAGGCATGTGGTCCGATGAATCACGTTTCCAGTTGCATCATGCAGATGGCAGAGTGAGAATTTGGCGGGAACGGCATGAAAGCATGCACCCCACATGCATGAGTACAACCCTTCAAGCTGGTGGGGGGCAGTGTTATGGTTTGGGGCATGATTTGGGCCCTTTAATTCATGTGGAACGTCTGAATAGCACAACATACCAAAGTATCGTTGCTGATCAAGTTCACCCTATCATGTTGATGGCGTATCCCAATGGAGATGGCTTCTTCCAACAAGACAATGCGCCATGCTGCGGTGCTCGTATTGTGCACGAGTGGTTTCAAGAACATGATGGAGACTTCACCTTGCTTAGGTGGCCCCCACAATCACCAGATCTCAATCCAATTGAGCATTTGTGGGACGAAGTTGAAAGAGCCATCAGGCAGTTGGTTCCACAACCATCAAATCTCACAGAACTGGACAGTGCTATTCATCAGGCATGGTGTCAGATTCCTCGCATCACCTTTTAACATCTCGTGGAGTCAATGCCAAGAAGAATCGCCGCAGTATTGAAGGCAAAAGGTGGCCCAACGAAGTACTGATGGGATGGTCATAATCTGGCCACTCAATGTATATTTGTTTGCCTTTAAATTGTGAGGGCTGTTGGATATTTGCTTGCCTGACCTGTGTGTTTGCTTGGGATAAAATGTTTTTGTTCCCATATATTCATTCCAGCTGTAATTATGCCAAGTGATATTTGTGAAGCTTTAGGTGCCAATAAGAGGTTTGCCTCCTTTTTCCTGTTGATGCTATATGTCCTTTGGTGGTTACTGTTGGCTCTGCCCCCATACACCCCTTACTGTGGCATGTTTAGTATATCACCCTTTTTTGTTGGGTGTTTGAAAATTTCTAAATAAAAATAGAAACAATGAGTTAAAACAGAAAATTACTTGAGTTCATATAATGTAAAATATTTTCTTTGTTACCCTAGCTTTGTAGATGGTGTTCAAGGCACACAATTTGTTCTGTGAAAGTTTAATTTATATTTTGGTTGATGTGGATTTTGTTGATAACCTAAATATATGATGGATATACTTTTGTGCATATCACTTTTTTTTCTGGATTAGAAAACACAAAAACATGAACCTTCTTTTTTTTTTTATTTAGCCATCCATTGCGTTGCAGAGGAATAGTACATAATCTTAGATCAATTAACCTCCCTGGCGGTATTCTCGAGTGTGGCTCTGGGTTAATTTTCAGTACCATAAGCGGTAACCCGGAGCCACACTTGGGATTACAGCGTAGCGTCTCTTACCTTGTCCACGATCCCCGCTGTGTCCTTCCGAGTTCCGTCCCTTGCGAGCGTCCATGTCGCAGGGTGGGCGGAACCGGCCGGAATTTTAAAAGGAAAAAATAATAATAATAATAATAATAATAATAATAATAATAATCAGACCGCCAGGGAGGTTAATTATACTGGCAAAAAAAATGTTAAGCCAGTCCCTTATATAACCCCACTTCCAACTGTCATGCTAGTGTCGTAGGAGGTTGGATGCGTTTCTATCTATATTTTTACTGTTTTCTTTGCTGTTAACATTCTTGTTAGTGTATAGATGTTCTTATCTTCAATTAAGGTGTCTAATATGCTTGAGCTGGTATCTATACAGCAGCTCTACAGATCTGCATATCCTCAGCAATAGTTCTAGAGGCTGTGCCTGGACCCTGCTGGACCAAATGTTGTGGGACTAGCCTGGAATGTGACCTTTGGGCACTGGGCTCCACTTATGGCACTTTCCAGACCTTTTATGTACTGTTAGCTGCAAAACACTTTCCAAGTCCAGAGCCAGGGCACTGCCTCTGGTGTGGCCCAGTCTCTGAAGACACACCTGCAGTATGCCATTGGATAGGGCAAAGTTAGATTGAAATGTCATCTTTATGAACATTTGCATTGTGGTGCTTTCCAGTCCTTTTTGGTACTGTGTCAGTAAGATGCAGAGCTTTATCCAGCTTTGTAGCAGTGGCACAACCATCCGTGTAATCTAGCCTCTGATGAATCCTTTTGTGAATAAGTCTCTGGTAGTGGAGAAACCCTAGAAGGTCACTTTTGAAGACTACCCATTGTATTGTGGCACTTTCAGGATCCTTGCTTACTGTGTCAGTTAGCCACAGAGCCATTTCTAGGTCCAGAGCCGGGGCACACTCCTGTTGTGACCTTGTCTCCAAGTGCTCATTTTGCTTAGGGGAATCAAATATAGCAGATTTACTCACCTGATCCTCAGTCAGCGCTTACCAGTTTCCCCCCTCCGCTTTGGCTCAGCATCCTCAAGTCTCAAGCAAATCGATGGACCTGCAAAAGATGACATCAGAGATACTTAGACACACAGAGACCAGGGGAGAAGAGTATGTAGGACTGGTCTAGCAGCCCGGTGGGACTGAGGTGTGGTGTTCTCTTAAGGGAAAGACCTAAGAACTAGAGCTGCAGCTAACGATTATTTTCAAAATCGATTAGTTAGCCGATTTATCGGATAAAAAATAAAATACATGTTAAAAAATGGCTCCAGTGATGGGACTTCTAGTTTGTATTGAGATTGCAGTCCATCACAGGAGCAAGCTTGAAGCGGGGGAAGTAAAAAAGAAAAAAAAAGTGTGGGTAACAATATAGTGAAATGAAAAGTGAAAAAAATGATACAGCAATGAATGCAGAATGGCACGAGCTAAAGAGGACTCCAAAACCCAGCAATAGTACATTATACAGCACAATGCAGAATACCATCCGCTGTGGAGAGGTGGGGGTTATACAAGGAGCTTGCTGTAAGTTTTTTGTTTACCAGTGTCCTAACCTTCTGAAGAGGGCAGTAAAAGATTTTCTATTATTCAATTTTACATTTATATTTTTTTTTGGTCATCCTTTGTCAATGCACCACATTAATGTGAACGAGAAAAGACAAATGTCTGTACCTGCATTAGCTTGTGTTAAAATGCATTGGGAATACATGTGCCTTGGAGTTTTTGGTATTTCTTTTAGATCCTAATCAACTTATTCTCTCACCCTGATGTACTTAGGCTGTTTGAGTGTTTGCAGAGCCGTGGCACAAGCAGATATTGGAAAACGTTTAATGTATCCAGGTTTTAGAACGAGTATAGTAAGGTTTTTCTTTTCTTTAGCCTACATTCCCAAGTGAAAAATTAGCACGAAGCGTAAGGTGGTGTAGAGCACAGTAGAGAAATAACATGATCTGGGTGAAATGTTGTGAAATGCTCTGGCTTTATATCTCCCCACCATGCGTCGTGTCAGACATCTGAGAATTGCAGGCAGTATTTTTTCTTAATCTTTCCTGTGAATGTTTTGGACTTGAATGATTGCACAGGAACGATAAGTGTCACATGTGCCTCTTGTGGCTAATAGCAATGAATTTCAGTTTCCAGCACATTTTGCAGTTTGGTAACTGGAATAGGAAGACTGAGACCTCTTTTAAAAGAGGGCATGTGTGCTGCTTGGCATGTTAATAGAGGGTTAACTGCTTGCTCTGCTCTGGTGCTTCCTATAAAGAGGCAGCGTTACCCAGTTAACCGGGCTGTCAGTTATAGTACTCTGACCTTCAGCTTGCCATGGCATCTGTTCTGGCTGGTACTGTTAACATGGAAAACCTTTTCAGCCTCATGAGGCGTCGTTTTAAGAGGAGACGGAAGAAGCGTTCTGAAAGAAAAGGTAGGGCTTGAGGGTCTAAACTATGCATTTCAAAAATATATATTTTTTTAAATATATATATATATCAGATAAAAAGACCATTCTAGCATGAGTGGCTTTGTTTTTGGTGTGTTTGCATTTTTCAAACAGCCTGCCTTTTGAATTTAAAACTTATTTTTTAATTTTATTATGCAACATTATTTTTACAGCTGACTTCGGTAATTAAAAAGCATCTCTGCTTGTTCTTCTTTTTCCGAGCTATCAGGGTGAAAAAATAAAACTGGATTGAAGCTTAATTTATTGTATATTTGAATGCTAAATGTGCAATTTAAATCAGTGGTAGGCATTTAAAATGGCTAATCATCCTACATAAATATTAATGTTTTCTAATGTCTTATCTTATGGAGTCTTATTATTTATGCATATAATTGCCTGAATGTAATGGAACCATTCAAACCTTTAACATTTTTTTTAATTTTTTTAAATATTTAAGTTTCTGAAGTGTCATAATTGTCTCAATACACGGATCACTCTAGCATCTTTTCATTTATAACAGCTGATGATTTGATCATTTCTGATCTTGGACACACTTTGAAGCCCAACTGCTGATGCTTAGGGCTTTGCGTTAACTTGCAAAATGTTTTATTGTTTTAAAATTCACTTTTTTTTTGCGTTGATGCAAACAAAATAACTTCTTTTTTAATTTATTTTTGTAGAACCAATATGAAACCATTTTTTACAATACTGTTCTTTAGATATGCTATTTTAAAAGATTGTAGAACAATAATGTTTAATTACACGTCACAGTCTGCTGTCTTAAAAAAATTGAACGAAAACGTCTTAACATCCAGCACAAATGTGTTTTTTAAATTTGAAATAGCCTGAGTTGTAAAAGGTACAGGGAAGAATGTGTCAACTTGTATTTTTTCTTTAAACACTTGTTTTACGTTCATAATTTTTATTTTTGGAAATATTACCTTAAGTGACCTTTAAGTACTTGTGTTTTATAATGTCACAGCAGAAGTGATTGAAATGTTAATTTATTGAATTTCCTCTGTACAGTGGTCAAAAATAGACACTTTGCCCCTTTGGACACTGACAGGTGGCAGTGCCAGCCTGAGAATTTGTGTATTCTTTGTCCTTGAAGTCAATTATTCCCAAAGGACAGAGGATCAAGGTTTCATTCATTCTTCAAACCTCTTCCTACAGATGGTTTTGTCGACTAAAAAGCAAATTTTCTATTAGGTTGCAGTTAATGGTATTGCAGTTAGGCTTGATTTGGAAATGGGAATAATCATAGCTGCCTGTGGACAAGTTAATTTGAAAATGCAAGGCTTCTGAAGATCCATTAGCATGACAGATTCAGTATGATAAAACGGAGTGTGTCATTCATTGCCACTTGCTGGATTATAAGTAATAACTATAGCCAATTGGTTGAGGGATTGTGATTCCCCCTTCCCTGTTGCATATCTGTCACTGGAAGTATTTCAAATCCAATGTCTCCGGTGACTGTGTAAAAATAGGAAGCTCTACCTAATCATCTGCTTTTCCCACCACTGCTTCACTTTATATAATGTTTATCACTGGAGTGCACAGGTCTCACTGCATTTAATCAAGCTGAGTAATAAAATGTATAGGTCTCTTAGGATGCATTGCTAGACACCCATAATGTCTTATAGCTGAGAACTTAATTTTATATTGTGTTGTATTAAATTAATAACTTGTGTAGCATTTTAGTGCTTGGCTTTCCTGTGTAAGCACATTCTTTAAATGTATTCATTACAAAGTGACACTCTGACGTGTTTTATGTTCTAGTGACCATTGCTTAAAGGCTTACTCTCCCAAATTGATATTTTCCTGTGGATAGATGCACACTTGTGTTATAGGAATTCCTGACTACCGATATCTGCACAATCACAGGAAAGTAACGCTTATTTCTGTGTTCATTGAGTCCCTAGAAACGCAGAAAGTCAGTAGGAATATCAATCTTAAGTGCATCCGTATAAAGTGGAAATATCTGGTTGTACTTGGCTATTGAAAAGGGTTCCCTTAGATCAGTGATGGCAAATGTTTTTGAACCCGGGTGCCCAAACTGCGATGCAAAATCTATTTATTTATCTCAAAGTGCCAACACTGGAAATAAGTTTAGTATTCTGTTGCAGTTTGGGCACTGGGGTTTAAAAAAACATTCAGCATCACTGCTTAGGCAAATCTAGGGAAACACACATTTTAAACATTTTATACGCTCAATAAAACCCGCACACACATCACACGTAATGAAACGCGCACACACATTAAAAAAAGAAGAAAACACACATCACACACATCTTCAATAAACCACACACACATCTTAACTGGTGGTTCAGTGGAGGATCAGTGTGATTTGCATCTCTGGCTGATGCAGACCATACTAATTGCTCCTGCCCGTGAGCAACGACACTACAAGGGAGCAATCAGTATGGTCTGAATCAGAGATGCAGATCATATTTATCCTCCACTGGACCACCATGGGATGATGTTTATTTAACCCCTTCATGACTGAGGCCTTTTTTTCATTTTTTGTACCCATGTTATATTCCACATTTTAGGCCTGAAAATTACTTAAAACCCCCCAACATTATATATTTTCATTGGTTCGGCAATATATTAAAAAGCATCTTTGCACCTGCCAGGTTTAAAGATGGCTGCCACAATTCACCCCAGTAGGCAGAAGTGGGAGTTTTGTTTTATAAAGGTACTGTGAGGGCAGTATACTCTAGCAGTCTCCTATAATCTGTCTCTGGTGTGTTGTTCAATCACACCTGCAGTCTGACAGTTTCCTGTAGAATTACATGTACTGAATATTATGTATGGCCCCCTTGGTGATGTCAGGAGCAGCAGTTGAGGCACCATATCATATTTTAGGTTGCGCACCACTGCCCTAAGGCTCCCTGTAGACTTCAGAGGGCTGACAGACAAACGGCTATCTGACTACCCTCAGTTAATACTATTAGCAGAGTGCTCAATTAACTCATTTAAGTTCTTTAATGGCTATCAGAGTAGGGAGGATATGTCAGTTGAGAGGACAACATCAGGTCTCTTGATCACAAGGGGAAAACGTTTTATTCCAATCATTTTTGCAAATATCC